TGGGAACAGTTCCAATAGAAACTTCAAATCCATCTTTTCTCTTTGGTTTCTAATTAGCAGTTAACAGATGAAGCATCTCGGAGACAGAAGGGAGAGAGCACGTAGTGGTGTACAGCAAAGCCTCTGGTGACTGATACCAACCCCGTATGCCACCCAGCTCTTCTGATTTTGAAATTTTTCAGGTGAGTGATTTCCCTTTTCCATTGCATGCCTGTGATCGGGGTTGGGCTGATCTCAGTTAAACTCTTAATAAGCCCCATTTCACGGCATGCAGCCAAGAGATTAGATCTGACAGGGTAGGCGTGGGCTAGTTCTGAGACTACAGATCTGCAGGCTAAACTCTGGATTGGAAGTGTTCCAAAGCCTGGTGCAGCTTGTTGGATGGAGAGCTCCTCGTGCATGATGATACCAAAAGCATGATTGTGTGAAATTCCACACTCCCTATTGATCAGCCCACCTGCTATATCACACTTTGATCCAACCTTTTGCTGCCCTCCCAAGAGACATTATTATTATTAGTGGATGTTTCATGCAACGAGGTAACAGTTTCAACTTTCTCGCTGCCAGATGTTGGTGGAACTGCTGACCTATGATCTACTCTGACAGAGCAACCCAGAGGTGCTTTGCCTGCATCTCATGAAATGTGAGCTGCAGCAGCATATGAATCATATTCCATATGAAGCTAAAGACGTGTTCGCATAGCCCGGTGTACAGGCAGGTGAACTCTGCTTGCCATATGGCTTAGAGGGGTCTTATTAGACTCTGAGCAGAAAACACATTATCCACAGTAGACCAAGGCCACCGAGGGATGATTTCTATTATGAAAGCCTTTAATTCCACTGGTGTGAGTAGGAGGGGGGAGTGGAAATGTGGAAAAACGCTCCAGGAGAAGAGCTGCTCCCTGGCTGCTTGGCTAATGTATGGGTGGATGATATCTTCAAGGTCTACTGCTGACTGGCATTGAAGGGGGAATGTTAGTTCTCTGGTTTGTTCCCTGAACACAGTTTTGTTAGTTATTGATAAAACAAATGACCCATCAACTGATGATCCTCTTTCACTTTCCCCTTGTTGCTCTCTTTCCTTTAAGCTTTTAAAATTAATCAAATCAACCCTCAGGGTGTTTGTTGTAAATAGATGTGAGAGTTTATGAGGAAACTCGAGGCCTGCAAATGAATGGATTTGAAAAGCTTTGTTGAATTTCCTCCTGTAGTTACAATGGTTTCACTGATAAACAACATAACAAAAGCTTGTTGATCTAATTCATGCTAGATCTAGCTATAGTACATCCACAGTAAATGTGTTGTTCAGACAGCGACACAAAAAGATGCTTCATATGGGTGCAGTTACAAGGTATATCTAAGTTATCTTTGACAGAATTTCTGAAAGGAAACCGACAAATGAATGGCTACAAACATAGAACGACTCCTACTGTTTTCTTCCTTTTTGCACATACATAAAAACAGATGCATACTTTGTGTTTTAACCATAAACACTAACGTACCACCATCCACCCAGACAGTGATTTGTAGGCTCTGTAGCATCATTGCAAACCTTTTGTTCCCCTCACCATGCACCTGTTATTTATTTACACTGTTTATGGTATTTACTATTGTTGTGCTCTTCAACTGGGTGAATCATTGTCATTTTCCCTCCTATCGAGCCTTATAGTAAACATCATATATTGAAAATATCAATCTTTTGTCAGTGCTGTCACCCATATCAACAATGTGTGCATACTACCCCCTTGAGGTCAAAGGATGTAACTGCAGTCAGAGTGGACTTCTGTAGCGACTGCGGTGATCTATCTGCAGTACAAATAATGTATCATTAGATAGAATCATCAGCACAATATATTTCTGTTAATATGGGGATTCCACGCTACAAATCTTACAAGCAAACTCATTAAATATACCTTCTGATCTGAAAATCTGTAAACATAAAGTACATGATGTCAAGTTATATGTTAATAGGTAGAGTTATGGAAAATGTGTACACATAGTTAAGCATGTAACTAATAGAGGAGGTTTAGAGGTGAAGTAGACTTTCCTCTTCGCAGCAAAGACATTTCAATATCTTCTTGACGTAGCTGATCATATCTTTGTTCCCTGAGAGGAGATATTAAGTCTGCTCAGTGTTTCAGACAGTATACATACTTATTTGGCATGCGCACAAAAACTGAATTGATCCAGTATAGGATGACAATATGTCAAAAAATGACTTTAATGGTAAAATAGAGAGCTTACCAATTCATAGCCCCATAAAGACAGAGATTTAGATCCTTGGTGGAGCACTATGACATATTCAACTGTAATCATGGAAGGTAAACATCAGCTCACCACCGGATTAACCTTAGGAATAAATATGTCCAACCAAAAAGCTGCCAATATTAGGCTTAAATCGTGACAGTATCAACTTTACATCAAATATACAGTATCTTATTTTCTATTGGTGCCAAAAATACGCAGTTTTTCCATTACGCGTCACAATCTGCTTTTCAAAATGCCTTTTAGGGATCAAAATCAAGCTTTATATTTGATGGTATCTTACTTATATACCTTGACTGAGAGTTAGCCACAAAACGCTGAATTAAAGGCTGCTCACAAACATCTCACCGATGTTTGTTCATGTGCTTGAATTGAGTGTAACTAAGGACATTTTTTTTTACGTGAGGATTACATTGTTTGCAATTTCTGTCCTGAGAGGCGCATCTTTGAGAATGTGTGCCGCTTGTTTATGTAACCTGTAGATGTGAAGAGCTCTCAGGAGCTGCATCAAATTAGATTTCTTCCTGCCTTGATATGTGTGAGCTCGTTTAAGCTCCACCGCTTTGCATTCCTAAGAAATAGGCTACTTCATCACAACACGATGCAACAGACGTGATCCTCAGTCGCCCTCTGTCTTTCCTCCTGAAACTTCCTGTGGCGCAAGTTTCATCCAGACACTCGTAAACAAAGACAGACACACTCATCACTCCAAAATGCGGAAGCCAACATAATGCTGCCGGCATAAGAATCAAAGAAAGACAGAGATAGAGAGATTTTAAATTGTTGTAGTGAGTGATGACAAAAAAACTCACAGATAAATGTGAAGTGTGCAAGAAGTCAACATAAAGAAAACATCACGTCTCTATATCAAAAGGCAGTGGAGGCCCATTTATTCCTTTTTTTCTTGTTTCATAAAGTACAGAGTTGTAAAATAATTTAAATTGTTCTAAATTAAATTAACTTCAACAGTTTGTGCTGTTGGTACTATCTATCTTTCACAGGCATCAAAAGAGATGAGTTGAGATGAGACCATGGGAGGATTTCCTCTAAAGGAATAAATAGCCCTCCTCCCACTGTAACTGCTGCTGCCCCGTCAAGACAAGGGTAAGAACTCTGCATGAGCCTGTGCTACAGGTACAGGGGTGGCAAATCATCATCTCACTGTTTTTTAAAGGTTACTGGTGAATAGAGGCAACATCTTCAGTCGAACAGTATAGGCGCACACTGAAAGGCTGATGCAAAGATGAGATTGACATGATGGCTCTGAGAAAGGCTGCAAACAAATAAGTGATAAAACTGCTTCATGTAACCCGTCTGTACTTTCTTTTTTTCATTAGGATCAACATTACCATGAGCATAAGCATTGGCTATAATATGTATTGTTGGGAAGCATACAGCAAGTCTGTAAGTATCACCTATACGATGTTTTAAGGGATTTTGTAACAAGACAAAATACAGCAAGAGAGTACTTATGTGAAATGGTACTTTAACTTTAAAAGTACAAAAAAAGTCATAGTATACTATGTCGCAAAAAGTCAGACTAGAGTGTAAAACAAATCATAAAAAAGTTAAAGTATACTATGTCGAAAAAAGCCATAGTATAGCATGTCAAATAGAGTGATACTAACTACAGTAGGTGGAAAAGTCTTAAAATAGTCATCGTATAGTTTGTCGATAAATTCATAGTATGTATGTCGAAAAAATGATAGTCGGAAAAAAATAATTGGTCGAAAAGAGTAATAGTATAGTATGTCAAATAAAGTGATACTGCAGTATGACGAAAAAAGTCTTATAATAGTCATAGTATATAGTATGTGAAAAAAGTCATACTATAGCACAGTGGTGCTCGACCAGAGAGTTCCTTAAGGGAGAAGAATATGTTTACTGTGCAGGCTGCTGAACACAGAGCAGAGAGGAGCGGACAAGGGAGGTTATAACTAGAAGTTGTAAAAATGTAAAAAGTTAAATATGTACAGGACATGGAGCCTCGATTTTGTTCCACTATTGGGAACACTTGTGGGCACTAGGAACAATGTTGGATTTGTAGAATACATTATTTCCCATTTTTTGTAAAATAAACTATCAAAGCAATTCAACTAAAGCTTTTTTTATGATTTGAGAGATGCGGGACTTGTATATTGCAGTGAAAAAGAGGCCCCATTGAATAAAGTTCAGAGGGTTAACCTCCAGTAATAAAAGACAGAAACATTGTTTAACTTTTTAGTAAGGAACTATTTCATTTCTGATTTTTCATTTGGATTCGATAGAAATTGTAACTCATCAATTGTAAGGTTTTGTAAAATATGACCATTTATTTCCCTCTTTTTTTCAGTTCATTGAAACGTGTATTTGTGTATTTATTTAACTGTCCACTAGGTGGCAGACACACAGGCTGTGGAGAGACGCATGTTGCTCAAATACTGATTTAAATCCTTCATTCTAAGGGCTACGTGCTCTTTTACAGTTACGTTTTCTACTGTCTGCATGTCTTATGCATTTAATACTTGACTGATTAAGTGTTCATTTGTCCCGTAATGAGCTCTCCACTGTTGGTTTTAGTGTGTCTTACTAAATAGTGAAGAATATCACCTGATAGTATGAGGTAAATTAAATTGCATTGTATTACAAATACCACTGCAGTCAGGTTCATAATAAAGCAAAAAACTTTTTTTCCCGTTTTGAGCAGAGGTTTTATGATGCGTCAGGAGGGACAAATTTAAGTAGTTCGCCTCTCAAAATGGCGGATGAACCAACACGGGAGTGGAGCGATGAGCAGCTCAAAAGTGATGATTTGCCCAAAAAAGACCTCATAAAGTTCATCCAGGACAATGGAGCACACTCGGTATGTTTATCTTTTTAGTCCGGTTGTGATTCGAGGTTGAATATCTGCAGATTTAAATATTACCGCTCACTGGAGCTGCGGCATGCTGCGTGGTTAGCTAAGCGTAGCCACATCAGGACGGCTGTTTTAGCATCGTGGAGGGAAGATAGTACAACAATGCGGTCATATTTCTACCGAACAGTCCTGCGCATCTCAGCATATAATTAATTCATGACGTCTGGAGCAGAACGGTCGGGTTTACTGTTGAACATGATTTTTGTGTACATTTTGCCGTAATTAATTTGAGTCGGAGCAGCACGCGGATGATGTTAAAAACAGTGACTGTTACCATCTGCTAACTTTCTCCCTTTTTATTGCATTTTCTCTTCCAGTTCCTCAACGAGCACAAGCTGCTGGGAAACATAAAAAGTGTCGCCAAAACGGCAAAGAAAGAACAACTGATAATTGCCTACAATCAGCTCTTTGAGGGCAAAGTAAGTGTGATATTAATGATAATTTACATCAACCACACAGATTGCAGTGAACTCATTCAACAAAAGAGTACGTGTGTGTGTGTTTCATCTGCAGAGGTTTAAAGGATCAGAACCAGTCGAGGAAGTGACGGAGCAGGTCAGAGCTGTGAAAATTGAAGAGAAGCCCAAAGAAGCCACAGAGGTTGTGGACGAGGTACTGGTCCAAGATGTTGAGTTTTACGGGGATTGTTGTTGACAGGATGTTGATTTTTGTCAGTTTTGCTCTGCACTTATACTTACATATAACTACTTCTCTTAGGGTCCGCCCAAGTACTTCAAGTCGGTGCTGAAGAAAGGGGACAAGAGCAACTTTCCAAAAAAAGGCGACAATGTGAGCTGCTGGTACACCGGGTCCTTGGAGGATGGAACCGTCTTCGACACCAATATTCCCACAAGTATGACAGACCTACACCCAAAATATTGTCAATCGGACCTGTTCTAGATTAAATTAATATCCTATAAAGGTTCTGTCTTCAGGTTTAACCCAGTTTTCTCTCTGCAGCGGCAAGAAAGAAGAAGCAAACCAAACCCCTGACATTTAAAGCCGGCCTGGGCAGAGTCATCAGAGGGGTGAGTAGTTATGTTTTGCTCTGCATCCAAATTTCTGTTTACGTCTTTGAGTATGACACTTCTTCCCCATTGCATGTAGTCATCAGTAACCCTTTACTTTCACAGTGGGATGAGGCCATTCTGACGATGAGCAAGGGTGAAACAGCTCGGGTGGAGATTGAACCAGAGTGGGCCTACGGGAGGAAGGGTCTCCCCGACTCAAAGTATCCTTTTCTCTGGCTGGTTTTATGCTTCACTGTTTAAATGTATATTTTAAACAATAAGGTGATGCGCAGTTCATTTTAGTTTAATTGTCCCTCCTACACCTGTGATCGGGTTTTTCCGGTGTCGTGCGACTGTAAGTGTTTTTGGGGCGAGCCTCCTTTTGGGAGTGTCAGCAAAATATTGTTTCCTGTACTACAGTTATTTTGTTTGGATGAAAACTTTTCTAATTTTGCATTGACTGCTGTCTATTCCTTAACCTCAACTCTACCAGAATCCCCCCCAATGCAAAGCTGATCTTCGAGGTTGAGCTGGTGGCTGTGGATTAACTGATCACCGCTGACCAGCATGCACCGCAGTTTACGACGGGACAAGAAAATGTTGAATTGCCTTGCTGTAAAGATTGACGTTAGAATGGCATTTTTTTTTATTGTAACGTTCTGGTTCTACTTTGTCTCATTCACCACGTTTAAAAGAATCAGGCAGTTATTACAGCGTTTTAGGTTCTGGCCAAAATGTGATGGCTTGTCAATAATGTACATATGAGACACCCTGAAACCTTATTCTCTGCATTTTCTTTTGCATATACAATGTAAATGATTAATAAAACCTGTTTCAGAGACTAAATGTATGCAGCAGTTTCATTTATGGTTTTCATTTGATCTATAGTGACCAATTTTAAAACTTTAGTTTGGTTGTGAAAATTGTGGTAGAGGAAAACTAGATTTAGCAGTTTCTCTGGTTTGGTATAAAACTACAACTACATTCATCTTCGCTGGTTTCAGATCGACTTTCACTAGTTCAAATGTTTACAGCAGATGCCAATTTAGATACGAGGGCAGAACTGCACATTAAGTTCAGACTTGTTATCTGGTCTGATGTATTAACCTATGGAGATCATTACCGATTATCAATCTGAGGCAAATATGAAAATGGTAATGCATCTGCCGTTTCCAAGGGATACCATAACTTGTGACTGGTATTTGATTAATTTGCACTTTTGGTATTCACATCAAACCATGCGGCTAGATGGGGTAAGAGTGTATCTGCACTCTTCCTAGTGACCAATGGCGTCCGACAAGGTGGAATACTGTCACCTGCTCTTTTTAATCTATATATGGATCTTTCTAAAAAATTAAGTGTAATACAGGATGTATGGTGGGGGAAAGTCTTAACCATCTGATGTACGCTGATGACTTAGTGGTCCTGGCTCCTTACAGCGCTGGTTTACAGCAGTTGCGCAGAGTCTGCTCATGGTATAGCGTGCAGTATGACATCAAATTCAACTCTAAAGAGTGTTATGATTGCTAAAACCAAGGAGGTCAAAATCTACATTTTCCCTCGTTTTTTACGAGAGGCCAAGAGCTGAATGGTGCATAAAATGAAATATTTGGGTCACATCAGGAATAACATTAGTGATGATGACGATGTGCAGCGGCAGTGTTGCAAATTGTATGCTCAAGCTAATATGCTGGCACATAAATTTCATATGTGTGCAGATGACATTAAAACAGCCCTCTTCAGAGCCTACTGTACTCCACTGTATACAGCCCACCTGTAAGAACACTTTAATTGCAAGATAAACCACATAATCAGTTCTATTTTGTCCAAGCCAAATTTTTATTCTGTACAGCAGGATAACATTGAACCTGGTAAAAACAGATGGGTGGTGATCATGTTTCTCCTTCAGGGCATTGGGGGCACTTAGGAGTTGGCGTTGGGTCCCTTCTTCTTTCCGAAGGTGGGCACCACGTTCACAAAGCGCCTGTTGTACTGGATGCGACGCTTGGCGCGGCCAGTCTTCTTTTTCTTCTTCTCCTGCTTTTCCACCTGGACAACATGACAGGAAGAGGCAACTGTTATTTCTCTCACATCATAATGTATGCTTCTTAAAGACTAGCTCACCCAAAACAGAAGAATGTAAAAGCCATTTCATAAATACACAACTAACTTGTGTAAAAGGGAGATTGTTTTTATTATTCTGTAACAAATCATAAAACCTTACCTTGGGAGTCTGTCCCCTCACTTTTCCGGCACGGGCCAGAGAGCCGTGAACCTTACCTTGAGGGAAGAAGGAAATTGTTAATTGTGATATTTCCCAGACAAACTAAAACTTCTGCCATTGTTCACAGCATTAACATGGGGGCCATTTGTGTGCTCATCCATGATTATCTTAAATATCATGGCTTGTGCCACAGTGGTGCTTGTTTAGTTTAACATAACTGGTCTTATACAAACAGCAGTATTGCCAGATAAAACTACATTTGTCAAATGCTCTTTCACAATTGAAATGTACGTGATAAACAGGAAACACTGGCTTTTCTACACATGCAGATTTGTGTACTAACCTCCCAGCAGCCTGCCAGCTACCTCCAGGGTGCAGAGATCTGAGACACCACAGGATGCAAGGGAGGCCTCATCCTCTAGTGGGCATCCAGCGAGCAACAGGACCTGATCCTCAACCAGGAGACCCTCCAGACCCTGGACATGGGCCTGAGAGACAAAGCGAAGAATAAACATTTAATCATAATAACCAAAGAGTGTGTGTGTAGAGGGGTTTTGATAGTCTATGCTGAATGACTCACAGCGGGAAAAGAGAAGGTTAAGAAAACAACTTATACGTTATGGTATATAATATGAAATACAATTGTGTATTTACAATACATGTATTTAATGTAAGCTACTAAAAGTAGTCATCATGCAGAATGGCCCAGTTCAGAAGAATACACATTATACTGTTCGATTACGATCATTGATGCATTAATGGGCTCATCGCTTTTAATCTATAAAAACAAGTAACTACGTACATCAAAATTGTAGTTCACTTAAGCACAGTACTTGAATAATAAATGTACTTGGTGACATTCCACCATTGTTAAATACATTTAATACGTTTTTCCAACTATTTTCAAAGTTGTTAAGCATTCCGTTTCTACTCAACACTAATACTAAATTCAAAATGGAGCTGGAAAGTAAGCAGCAACAGCTTTTAGTTGTTTTCTGCGCTTGTTTATCAAAAATAAATCTCAGGTTCTCTCCAGCTTGTAGTCACATTACCTTGATTTGTCCAACAGTCTCCTGTCCGGTCACCTCAAGGGTGTGAGTGTTCTGGGCACGCAAGAAGAGCTGCATCTTGATGCTGGAAGAAAAAGAAAAGAGACGTTGGTCATCATCAGTGTTGGCATACTGCGGAAATCAGCTTGTGGCGTTAGCGTTATTTGTGAATGCAAACATTGGCCACCGAGCCCGCCACTAACGAACTATAATGTGGGAATACATTAAGAAAGTATATCCTGTCACAAAACGGGCAGGTAGTAAAAAAATAACAGTAGAAATCAACATGCCGGGAGCTGGAATAGACATGTCTCTCTCGTTAGCTTGCTAATGCTATGTTAGCTTCATAGCCGCATGGGGCACGCGCTTCATAAAGTCGCTTAAAAACACATGAAATGTGGGTTACATTGTTCAAATAAAGTACAATGTAAGATTAATGTTTATATAGGAGCTATATTCACGCACCCAAAACATACCTGTGTTTCACAATACTAGCGTTTTTCACTTAAATTGCACAGGCCTTACCTCGTTTGATGCTAGTCGTTCAACGCTAGGCATAGAAAGGGCTGTTTAAGGGTCGACACTGCGCATGTGTGGATTTTACGTAAACCAAGTCGGAAGCAGTGGCCACGCCCACCACGTTTTGGAGGCCGCTTCAATTACTTAAGTATCAATTATTGTCTTTTACGTTGTTTTTATGCATTAAAACATCACAGTTCCTTAATCCGTAAGGTTAGGACACAATCATTTAATAGTATGCCAAACGAGGTCATTATGAGCAGTTAGGTTTATTTAGATAGTCGTTTTAAACTGGATTAGTTCCTTCACATGGCTCATAAATAGAAAAATAAGCTGTCAGCAAGTTCCTTTTTACAAAGTCATTTTTCAACGCAGGTGAAATATGTCACATCAAGTATTAGGTTTATAGGATAAAAAAATACATATTCTTGAAATATATGAAGTTATTGTGTTGTGACTGTAAATAACTGGTCTACATACATTATATTTGAGTCATTAAGGAACCGAACAAGAGACACTTCAGGATATCAATCTCTTTATTATGAAATCAAGACAAAATAAAAAAGGAGGAACTCTTCATTTTCTTTATGGAAACATTACCATGACATTAAAAATCTTTCAGTTTTGGGGGGGGGGGGTGTACACGACTCAGAAGTACATCAATGAATATCTCCTTTACCAGTTTAAACCTTAAAACACAAAGAAAGAGACCAAACTAAGTCATCCAATCTAAGAATTAAAAAGCTTTAATCACACAAGAAAAAATAGATCCGCCTTCCTTCACAAATAACATGCATTGAAGAACCAAAAAAGCAACCAGTGTTGGAGATGAATGTAGCAATCAATGCATTTGTTTTCTTTTATTAAACATGACTGATCAAGATGACTGTCACAGAGGCCTGTGTGTTGTATTCCAACCAATTGGCTACACAGTGTAACTAATTAAAAGCACACTTTAAAGCAGAAAGAAGGAACAAATCAGCTTCAGTGGTTGGTTTGAAAGCTCCATGTCACCATGTTAAGTAGCCCCGTTTAGACGTGTAGTCAGGGCAGAAAGGATGCTTTCCTCCGAGTCTCCATCTTAAATGTCAGGATTTAGTCCATCATGTAGGGGGAGGGGGGTAGTACTGGTTATACTGGGCATATTGGTTGTACTGTCCCCAGGAGTTTTGTCCCCAACCACCGTACTGCTGCTGAAAAGAAGGGAAAGAGAACAAAAAAAGATAAATTGACCATGATCACTGCCATCTTCAACAGGCAAACAAAACATGAGCCTAACTAGTGTACTTTTGTCTGCTCAAAATAAATATAATAACTGTAAATGGCCATACATGACTGGTTAGACAAACAAAATGTAGAGAAAACTTTTAGTGCCATCAACTGCTCAGATAAGAAACCCACCTGGTACCAGTTGTTGTATGCAGAGTTGTTTGCCTGAGCGTCGGTCGCTGCGTTGACATCACCCGAGGAACCGTCCTCCACACGCTGTCTCTTGGAATCAGGCTCCTGAGAGCTGGAGACGAACAGTTTCAAGTTAATAAAACCCCTTTTTAAATAGTTCAAGAAATAAAAGATGATTAGTGCCATTCACTGTGATTTAATGACCAACGACAGAACACATACAGACATGCATGTCTCGAATATGGGACAATTTGGACACGATCAATAATATTAAACTTTGCACACAGCGCACTGTGCAGAAGAGGGGCGGGGCTTCAGGCCTCGTTGGACCGAGTCCAGCATGTCCTCTTGCTGCCGCATGCTGGACAAAGCCTGTTAATGTCACATGGATGCTGGATGTACTGAGGCTACACAAATGATTGATAAAACATTACAACTGGAACCTTCTTCAGTGACCGAGTCAAGCCGAGCAGAGAGCCCACTGGAAGGAGGATCGAACCAGAGTGTATATCACAGATGTCTGGGCTGTATTTCCTCAGAGTATATGGACTTGATACTACCAACTTATAACGTTCTCACCAGCCAAAGGTGTGGTTTTTCAGGGGTGGCTTTATTGAAGTAAGGCAAACAGTCTCTTTACTTTTCACCCTCTAACTGGGAATGTTGGTATTGGCAGTGGTAGAACAAGACTGCAACTCAAAAGCTTTTTTAGAAGTCTGGTGTACAAACTCATCAGGGGTGAAAAAGGTGACAAAGATGCAAAGTGTGAAATGTATGAGTGTTGAGAAAGCTGCAAGCAGCAACACCACAGGCCGAGCATTTGGCCCGTTCTGAGAAAAGGAACTGAACAAGTGAAAATAACAATGTGTTGATGTGACCCGAGCCCTGTTCCATTATCCACCTGTCATACCCGTTCTCGGCCTTCCTCTTTGAGGGTTCGCTTTCTTTCTGTAGCTTCTGGTATTCCTCATATGCGGCCACAAGCCTGAAAAGATGTAAAATAAATAAAAAATTACTCAATGTCAAACATGATAAAAGCACATCGTCTCTAGAAATAACAATAAAACTCACACATTGATGTCGCTGCCAAAGTCCTCGAGGAACTCAACCTTGCGCTGGCAGAAGACGAGGCGGGACTCAAGGGGCATCTGGCTCTTCAGGGCTCGGTCGAAACAAGCCAAGATCTCAGCCTCGTTCTGCAGCACATCCCCGCTGTACTCCAGCTCGAGCAGGTTAAGAAAGAGCTTTGGACTCGTCTGTAAAGACACAAAAATATTAGTGTGTAAAACAGCCATTGTGGAAAGTTGAACAAATCACAATAACTGTAATCCGGTAGACATAAATATAAACTATACATGCAAGTTACACAAATGCAACAAACAACAAGTGTTAACCAATCAGATGTCCCGTTTAGGGAAGACAACGTGTTCACTGACGTTAGGACGTCTAGTTCCTGCAGCAGTTCAGAGAAGAAGTGATTGAATGATGTTGTTAGTGTGTTGGTCTGTAGACACTGTTGAACATTTTACTGGCATCTAAAGAGGGCTACGTCACCCAAGAGTGTGAAAATAAATAAATAGAACCTTTAATAAGCATGGCTTTTCACCTGGTCTTTCTCGATGGCATCCAGCAGCACTTTCCTGGCCTTGCTCAGACTTCTCTGCACCTTCATCATCTGCCTGGCCAGCTTCACAGCATAGAACGATGTCTCGGTGACATTCTTCGCGGACTCCATGGCCTCCCTCAACAGGGCCTCCGCCTCCTCCAAGTTACCGTGGCGGCGCTCAAGACTGACCCTCCGAAGGCGCACCATGGCCAGACCCGGGACCGCTTCCTCCAGGGACTTCAGGACGCTACGAGCCTCCTCTACATTACCTGGGCAAAGAAAAGAAACACAATACTGTCAGCATGGCATAACATAAGAAATTATATTAGTCCGTTAGAGACGTCCCATCAAAATCTCCTTGGTAATTTGACTGAGTTCAAGTGCATGCTGGTTTTAAAGAGGAACGCTCACCTTGCTGCTCCTCAAAAGCAGCCCACAGCAGATGGATGGCAGGTTTCTTGGGCATATGGATGGTAGACGCCTTCTTGTAGACATGTCTCACACCATCAATGCTGTAGCCCTCTAGATATTTTGCATACTTCAGAGTGAAAAACAGAGAGCGAGTTGGAAGAGATGTAGGAGAAAAAGAAGAGAGGAGAAGAACAGAGGAGAAAGGCAAAAGAGACAACACATTTTAAACCTAAATTTTCAGTTAACAGAAACTGAATTTCTTCATTGACAAGATCGTTTTTAGAAATTTTCTGTGTAAACCCATCAGCACCTTCATGGAACCAATTAGATAAGTTTCTGTAAGGTAGTGGGAGACGAAGAAGATGCAACGTAGTAGTTGGCAAATGCTGCAGTCAAATCTTGTGTGGCAAGCTGGCCATCCCCTAATACAACAGATACAGTCAAATATCAACGTTACACGCAAAGAGAGTGCAGGACGATTTACTGTGTCGATGTGATATCATCGTTGGTGGGGAAGTGCAGGGAGGTAGCGGGAGTGAGAGAGAGGTTGAAGGCCACATTACCTTGGTCCAGAAGTCCTCGTAGAGTGCACAAGCGATGAGGCATCGTTCAAAAAGAACAACCACGCGCTCAGGGATCCCATTCTCAATTTCAAAGTCCAGGTACTCCTTCCAGTTGTTCAGCTGGGTCTTCTCTAAGGCTTTGACGTGGAAGTATGGTCTTTTAATCTAAAAAATAAATAATAAATAAATGTTTAACATTGTCGAAAAATAAAAATAAAAGATTTTCAACCATTAACATCGTGGCGGAGAAAACGAGACGCGTACCCCTTCTTCAAAGGTCCAGCGCTTGCTGACTTCATGTTCGTTGTGGTTGAACACCTCCTGCCGAATCTCGATCACCTTGTGGCGCATATTCTCGATCTCGGTCACTCTCTACATAAAGACACACAAAAAACACATGGTCAACACCCACATGTATTCTTCACAGACCACATTCTCCACTTGATGTAGAAACTGCTAGTCCTGCAGCCAAGGATTTACATCACCATGAGCTTGCCACAGACAAGAAGCCTGGGGAGGGGGGGAGGAATGTATGCACCCTGCATATCAGTCACTGGGTGCAGGGGCCGGGCCTCAGTTGATCCTGTTAGTTTTAGGGCGATTCCCTGACTGGATGCCAACTTGAATCCACCCAGGACATTCAATGGCTTGGCTGCTGACATAAAGACACCTCTTCACACCTGAACAAAGCTTTCCATCTCATGGAGAACAGGCAAGCTCCTGCTAAACCCTGCAAACAGTGCTTTGGTAAATGTGTCTCCCTTGCAGGAGGCAAGTGGATGTTCACCTTTGCAGGATCCACAAGATCATCTGTACCAGGTGGCAACTCCTCCTGAGCAATAGGCGTCTCCTCAACCTCGCCAATCATCGCCAACAGGCTGGCTTTAGAGAGCTCGAGCCTCAGCTGAACAAACTCCTCTTCTGACAAGTAGTGTTTGGGGTTGTTGTCCTGCACGTGATCTTTGAACCTGCAAAGATTAAAAACAGGAATATAAGATTCAACTTTAAATAGTTTTACATGTAGATGCAAAACTAAGAGGACTGTACATAAAAGTAGATCCCTTTCTAACTACAGAGGACATGCGTCTCTGGACTATAAGGACAGGATAGAAAAGGACAAAATTGCTGCAACCAGAGTTTTATACAGTCTTTCCTCTACCTCTGGAAGTGCTGGGAATACAGCTGGGTTGGGATGCCCAAGACGCGGTCATAGATGGCGGTGACGTTAGCCAGTTTCTCCTGCTCTGTCTCCCAGTTGATGAAGGACTCCCACAGACGGTCTGAGCGAAAGTCTGTGCCTGCTGCAAGCACTGCATGTTCATAGGCACTGATAGGAGAACATAACAGGAAAGATTGTGAATCTTGTGCAACTTTGTGTTCTCCTCTAATATCTGTTTAAAAATCATTTAAAGAAAAATATGGACATTAAGACTTAATATCGTTAAATGTAGGACGTTTCCGCTGTCATATAAGCAAGCGTCGCATAACAAGGAGGAAAAAAAACAATCTATTAAGTAAGAGTCCTTTACTTACGCTCTAATGCGTCCCTCGGTCTCTGGATCACTCAGGTCTGAGTTCTCTTTGATGTAGGTCAGGTAATGCAGCCACAGATCCACACTGAGAGGGATGGCCTGCAAGCCTCTTCTGTATACCTTGAGAGAGACCAAACAAGCCCGTCAATGGCTGGACTCTTTACTGTATTCATTAAAGTCGCTCTCATTAACCCTCTGGTTTCATGCCTGATTAATAACAGTTGCTGTTTGCTACATGGTCTTGAGTCATGTAGCTTCACCAAAGACTAAACTATAGAAAAGAACACGTGTCCATACGATATTTATATTTACCTCTTCTGCAATCTGTATATTCTCGTGCTTTTTCTCAATATCAGCATACTTCTTCCAGTAGCCATAGCAGTAGGGATAACGTAGGAAGAACGCATCAAATGCACTTCTCACAGCTGGAAGGGCATTCTGCAAGGGAGAGAGGCAACAAAAATAATATTTACTATTTCCCATTTAGTATACTAATCCTACTGTTCAATCTTGGGAATATACAAACATATCTGAATAACCTGCATGTCTTCTCTTACCTCTTGCTCCACAAACTGCAGCAAGTAGACCCAGCCATTGAAGTCTTCTGGGTTGTCCTCGCATCCTTTGAAGAGTTTTTCAAACTCACTTGGCAGCTCTGGCTCAGGAACAGTTGATTCTTCCGTTGTCTCTTTGAGTGGTTCTTCCAGCTCCATGCCATCCTCTGTCACCTGCGGGGCCTCAGTCCCATCTGGAGAAGGCAACAAGAAATCATGACGGTTCACCTCGTAGAGGAGCAAGCAAGGCATTGGTAGTAAATTTGTTTCGTTAGTCGGCTTGCATTGTAGTTAAGATTTTACAAAAAAGTGCATTGGTGATGATGAACCATCCTAAAACTTAACACGTTTTCACTTAAGTTATAGATCTATTGTTGTTATGTAAGGGGACCAATTTTGCCAACAACTAATCAGCTATTTTGATTACCTTGACTGCTATCCTGAACCACAGGTTCTGGCTCTATGGTCATCTCATGGCCGTCTTGCTCAGATTCTCCAGACTCTGGTTTGTGTTCTGCTGGCTGTTCTGGCTGTTCTTCCATTTCTGCAGGCTGAGGTGGAGGTGGTGGCTGCTCAACTTGGAAGAGCTGAGCACTGGCAATCTGAAACTGCTCCACAGCCTTCTCCACAGATCCCAGCTCTGGGGAATTCATCTGCTGGTCTGGTGACTGCTGTTGCATCTGGGACACATCCTGGGACACGTCCGAGTCCTCTGGCAAGATATTGGCGAGTGGTTCTGGAGTAACCTGGTCAGGGGACCAGTCGGCAGTTTGGCCTATAACAGGCAGGTCAGGAAGAAAGGCATCCCCGTTGCTCTCCATGGCAGGGGACTCAGTGTCCAGCATTCCAGTGATGGGGTCGTCTGAAAGTTGCAGTTCTGTTGAAAAGCAGGATGGATTATTACTAGAGCTGCAACATTAGTCAATTAACAACTAAAATATCAACTATTTTGATAATTAATTGCATGGAAACCACAATGGGCGTGGGGGAGTTAGTTTCAATATGTGTTACATTTTATAAAATGAATCTAGTTAATTAAAAAGTATCGTCAGATTTAAGTTATGCTTACTATGTTAACTAGCTTCACACCAAAATAAGGTCAGCCCCGTAGAAGCCGCAGCTGTTGCTACACGATACTTCCTTGTTCAAACATTACAGAGACCCTAACGTTAGCCAGCACCACTAAAAATAATGTCACGTTAATGTTGCGTGTCCCGTCAAAAGCTAATGCTAGCTTTAGCCGTGGTTGCTGTTAGAGGCCATGTTTGCACAGTCAAAGTTCAATCAGAAGTTGGGCCCTGACTGCCATCTATTTCCTGAGAAGCATCACAGCACTCGAGCGACCACAGGTTTTGACGTTGCACGTGAACTCGGACTACGGTAATTTAGTGAAGTTAATGTTAACTAACGTTACTAATTCCATCGTACCTGTGCCACATGATTTGGTATTAGCAAAGTGTACCCAACAATGCATCGATTGCTTCACAATTTCGTTTCACCTTAAGCTAACTAGATCAACTACAACGTGCTACGTATTTGCCTCCGTCTCCAGATATTAGTCGGCACCCAACGGCTTCTCCACGTTAGCTAGCATGCTAACGTTAGCACTAGCAGCTAGCGTTAGCTGGCTTATAAGTTACCACGATAGTAGTCAAGATACGTTTTAGGATCTTACCTGTGTCTTCCATGAAATTTTGGTCAACCTTATAAACTTGTGTGTAGCTTTAGAAGTCACTTAATGTAACCTAAAAATGGACAGGCGCGCTTCGCCCACCATACTTATCTTAAGAGGAAGAACCTGGAGAGGGTGTGCGCATGCGCGGCGTAGCGCCCCGCCCACATGTGTGTGGTGACGACGTTTGAAATAAAAGTTTTCAAATATGCTTCACAAGATTATTAATGAACAAAAAATAGGGAAATAAACGTGGTTACGGGTTACCTATGGAATACGACAGGTTGAATAATTTAGCCTTTACTATGGCGGAACTATTTTGATACTCTTTGTGAGAATGACATATTATTATATTATTATTATTATTCAACTTTATTTCCAGACACATTAATCCATTTAGCAACAAAAACCATAGTCAATGGTTGAGAGGGATTAGTAGACTGTGGGTGGCTCATTTATAAAGACTTGCCTTGATAAACCTGCACAGGACAGCACGCCGAATTTAACATCTTCCACGTGGTTATAATTACACTGAAATTAAATTATTATAGTTTTTACAGAGGTGATGGGCAGCATATTTTTCTTTACTCAAACCAAATTAATCTTCTCTCTGCTGATGCTCTACAACACAATTTTCCTCTTTATCATGATTTATCATCTTAATAAAAATCAGCATTTTATGGATTTTGTTATTGCTCTCATAAACGTATCCTACCTCTATGCGACGTACGGTTGTTTAGTAAGGCTATCTTCTGTTAATTGTGTTTTGAGTCAGTTTAAATAAGCAGGTCTCATATAATAGGCTGCTTGCTGCAGTCTGTCACACTGCAGTTCCCCCTTTTGCCTTTTTGCTCACAGCCATGGACTCACAACCTCCACGTAATCACGCTGGAACCGGTTTTGAATGAATGATCATGTCGGAAAGACCCGGCTGTAAACCCCCCTTCTGAGATGACTAGGCCCACTAAATCCTGACATCTGTTTCATGTGTACAGCTCTATATCTAAATATTGTGCCACACGCAATATTAGAGGCGATTTAATTCATAATGAACGCTCAAATGGCGTCAACGCTACAGTTACTGGACCGGTCTGCAGTTCAGTGGCTGTGAAGCGCGCATGCGAAATGGCGTATGGTGCTTTTATGTGCAGTCGTAAATCTTGAAATTGAAGTACCCACCCTTGACTTTAGATGTTTACTGTGTTTAATTATTGGAAATGATAAATGTATGATACATATCCATGTTAATGATATTTAAATGGGGAATTATTAAGGTAAAAAAATACCAAATAATAATTATTTCAGATTCTTTGATTATAAGACAACAATACTGTCAGTATTACTGCTGATGTTCTGTGAGTTTCATTTTTAGGTGGCACACTTAAGAGCGTCACAAAGCAACTGCAGCTATATATTTATTTTGTTTACGCTGTGGTGTAACTCCTCCTGTTGTTGCCTTTTCGGCCAGGTCGCCCTGGTTAAATAAAGGTAAAATAAATGAAACTTCTCACCTTGATGATGTAGAAGTGTACTCCAGGTTTTGTACTGAATGACACCCCTGCAGGGTGTGGTCAAAGGTGCAACAGACTTGAAACTTTCAACCAGAAGGGGCAGTGCAACACTGCTTCAACTTGATATCAAAACCACTGGAACTGGAATCTTATTTATAACATTTAATGTTAATGATTCAGAACTCAAAATCTCAGATTTCAATTAAAATATTGCTCAATCCTGATTTTGCACAGAACGTGGCATCACCTTTTTTTCGAAATAATGTTTTTTTTAAACTAGTGAGAAGATCATCGGAAATTAAAGAAATAAAGAAATCTCAAATGTGAAATAACCACGCGTTTTTTAAGTATTTTCTAATTGACCAGCGCCAAAACTTCAAAACCAACATACAAGCATTGAATCTGTGTGTGATCAAAACAGCAGTTACCTATAAAATAAATAAATAAAAAACGTTGAAATAATATATTAATAAGCTAATTAAGAAACGTGATTATTAATATATTTATAATCTACAATCAATGATATTACAATGATATTGTAATTTAAAAAAAATTAAATAGATAAACAATAACCGTATAAAAGCAGTGTATGAGCAGCTTATTGTAGGATGTGTTTTTTGCGTCTTCAGTTTTCGGAGCTCATGAGGAGCCCCTGAACGCAGCAGCAGTGTGTGTGTGTGTGTGAGAGCAGCGTACAGGAAGTGGCTGCTGATCTGGGTCCACACCTTTTCCGGTAACACAGCACCCGCCACCGCCGTGACTGAACGGCTGGGGAAGAGAGAGAGGGAGGAAGAGAGAGACAGAGAGCGGCAAGAGAGGGGAGAAACGGCCGGGGGACTGGGGGATGATTGCCGCAGACCTAGGTATGTATTCTTTGTTTTTCTGCAGCCTTTCCGTCCGCAGAGAGAACATTTTTTTCGGATCCAAAGTTGTCCTCTGTGCGCTACTAACACCCCTCCCTTCTTCTGAACCCGCTCTTGTGTCACAGGGGGTAGACGGAAGAAAGTCGGATGAATCAATTACCTTTTTTGAACACGCTCTTCCTCTGGATGTCCCGGTGCAGAGACGGACCAGGGAGCTTGTATTTGGGTGTGTTTTGATCACAAGAAAACCCACCACCGTGCTTTTGAAATCCACCGACTGGGATCGGCTAAAGGGCAAGTGTGGACAGCCGGCAGACAAGGAGGAAGTGGGAACCTCGGGCTTGGACAGGGCCTGATTTGATACAGTGGTTGTTTTTTTTAGTAGAAGAAGAAAAAAAATCTACTCTGTTTCAAGTCCAGCTGGACTGAGAGTAAGTGGATTTTTTTTGACTTGAAATGTGGATTTTGAAGGAGGTCTGCGTTTGAAACAAGGGGGATGTAATATTTTCTTCCTACATCGGAGGGCAGTGGATCATGAAAATATATCCCCACCCAATACTACGAGGACACGCGCACACTGCTCCCATTGAGGGCTCGAAGTCACCCGCTCAGGTCAGATCATCATAGTCCAGCTAATTGTAGTGGTCCAACGGTACCAACTTGAGAAGTCACTGCCTTTTGAGTATTGACACTCGTGTCAGCCCACCGCTGGTCACGTGGAGGACTTTCACACACACTGAAACTGTAACTTTGTATTTGTTTTCCTCATAAGAGAAGTCTTGTTTTTTTTTTTTTTTTTACTTACAAAGTATTTATGCACAGCAAACAAGATGGGCAAAATGATCTCAAAGATCTTTGGCAACAAGGAGATGAGAATATTGATGCTTGGACTTGATGCTGCTGGTAAAACCACCGTCCTGTACAAGCTGAAACTGGGACAGTCGGTCACTACCATCCCCACCGTTGGCTTCAACGTGGAGACCGTCACCTATAAGAATGTGAAGTTCAACGTGTGGGATGTTGGGGGGCAGGATAAGATCAGGCCCCTTTGGAGACATTACTACACGGGTACCCAGGGCCTCATTTTCGTGGTGGACTGCGCCGACAGGGACCGGATCGACGAGGCGAAGCAGGAGCTCCACCGAATCATCAACGACCGGGAGATGAGGGACGCCATCATCCTGATCTTCGCCAACAAACAAGACCTCCCAGATGCCATGAAGCCCCACGAGATCCAGGAGAAGCTGGGCCTGACCCGGATTAGGGATAGGAATTGGTACGTTCAGCCCTCGTGTGCGACAACAGGGGATGGACTATACGAGGGCCTGACCTGGCTTACCTCAAATTACAAAAATTAATGTTTCTCCCCTCACCAGCCTGGACACTTGGATGCAAAAAAAAAAATAGAAATAAGTAGCTGAGAATGGAAAAAAAAAAAATGCAATCTGAAGCAATTAATACCACAACCTCTCTGCTGAGTGTATATCAAAGAGAGTAGCAATTATATTTTGTTTTCTTTTTCTTTTTGATAATGATGACTTCACTATAACCCCAGATTTCATTTAAACAAAAGACAATTTATTTTTTTTGGCTGTTTTTCTTTCTCTTTTTTTGTAGTTTGCTTTGGTTCACATTCTGTATAATCAGTTCTGTTTAAATATACATTACGCTTACTTTTGAGCTCTTTCGTTCGCCTCCTTTTTGTATAATTTCTTTTAGGGGTCTTTTGGGACACACATGTATACGTTTTGCCCCCCGCTTAGCTCTTATTCAGTATTCTCATGACCCAGCTGCATATCCAAAGGATGGGAAACTCCAGAAACCATCGCCTACATCAGCATATCCTTTTCATGGCTCAAACTGCCGCTGTAATTTGAACGACTGTGTGTTATGGATGTGTTTCTAAATTGATTGTATTGGGATCGTTGAGGAAATGTGTTCGTACTTATTTCCTGTGCCGTGGTCACATCCATCATGTCTACCATCGAGGTTTGTTGTGAAAGACACTATGTGGACGCTGGATATTCACACACACAGACACACACTGTGATATGGATATATGTTTTTGTTGTTTCAGGGTCTGAATCTGTTACCACCAGTCTTATTGCCGCCTCTTTTGTTTCTCCCAGAGCTTCCATTACTGTTGAGCATTTGTAGTTTCAGCTGCCTGAGGAGGGGCCCGGGTTACAGGTGCCCCAGAATCCAGACAGTTACTGCGGCAGAAGGTGTTCTCAACTGCTGAGTTTGCACTTTGGGAGGGGGGGTGGTTACGAACTAGCTGGCTGTGCACATTTAGATTTTCTGTGACTGAATTTTGGACCTCAGCAATTGTTTACGAAATTCCCAACCATCTCCAATGTAGGTGCTTCAGTAACTGCAACCCTTCTCCGTTCCTTTACATCATGTGTGTGTTAAGGTCCTGCAGACGCATATCAAATCTCTGTTAATACTTCATAGACACTGCTCTGTTTTTATTTTTTGCTATGCTGATGAAATAATAAAAAAAATATATCCAGATCAGAACGGAAGTAACGCCTTTTCAATACGCAGCTGCAACCGTGAAGAAGAGTATCAAAAGTAATACTTCACTTCTGAAAGAGTCGTGCTGGTGAAAGAAGGAAGTGAGAGTTTAGGATGTTGAAAGAAGGACCAGTCAGAGCAACGTGAGCTGAGCCTCGGCCTCTTTGCTCTCTTGCGTGTGTGAGTCACTGGCTGTGAATAAATGATGAGCTCTCTAGTTTCAGAGTACTGATTGTCAGGTAAACCGCGCTTTGCTGCTGGTCTCAGAGTATCGCTTTTGTCGACGAGGGAGCCGGCTCCTCAGGTGGCTTTTGACATTTTCGAACAGAGGAAACAAATTGAAGAGGTAACGTGGAGTTGGTCCAGATCTTGAACCACGGAAGGGTTCAAGATCTGAAACTGAAGAAAAGAAATCTTACATTGTGTTGAGAATTTGTTCATAGGAAGAGCAAATGTGGGTCACTGAGAACCCGATGAGAGCCGTGTGTTACTTGTGTAACGACTGAGGTCAGGGTGACGGCCTCACTAAAGGTCCCTGCCAGACTGGCATTTCGCCCCCCGGGGTGCGTGAGTCGTCATGAGGGGCAGACTGGAGATCAGGTCGCAATTTTTGAAGCCATTCATGTTTCATTTGTTTTAACCGCCCCGCTGTGTACCGCTGCTCCGAGTTTCACGTGTCCCTGAGCCATGTGTGTCTAAGGTCAGCTTCCCCTCTACACGAATCCAAAGAGGCAGATGTGAATTGCGGGCGGTGACATCACTGTGTAAGGTCAGGAAACTGCTTGAGAGAAGAGAATTGTTGTCGTGGAAATCTGTGGTTTAGGACTGTCCTGCCTGTTGGTGAGCAGCAGTACAGTAAGTGTCGGGTTGAACTGTAAAGATAAACAGAGTACTAATTCTAGTGCAGGCTTGTGTCTATTTTTGCAGTAAAAAGCACAAAAATCACTCAAATATCCTGAAAATTTTACATTTTGAAGGTATGTTACTGTAGTAATGTTAAGGAGAGTCACAGTCCAGGAATGCTTGTTCTCCGTCTGTGTATTTGCTCAGTTTGCTGATCTGGTGTTTGTTCTGTCGCTGCTGCTGTGAAGTTTGAACTGTTGCTGTTTGAAAGCAGCAGCATGTGACGTGTCCAGCATGAAGGACGGGGACATGCAGTTCAACTGAGATAAACGCATAAAGGCCAGAGGCCCCTTATCTCTCCTGAAACTGCTCACTTTGCACTGCATTTTTTGTAGAGGGGGGAATTATAAGCAGCACTATTGCAACAAAACCACATTATTTGAACAGTTGAGGGCAGTGCCTCTGCTGTGTCAAGTACGATCTTGTTTGCTTATGATTTCTCAGTTCATGACTTCCATTGTGGAGGTGGAAATTCCAAAGTGAGATCTACAAACGCCTTTTTCTTCTCCCGGGAAGGGAAAACGGGGGAAAGGGAGAGCAGCTTTGAAGCGGCTCCTGGTGTTACGTCAGCGTCGAGCCGGTGAATCATGGCGCACATGTCGGAGGCCTTTTGTGCAGCTGTCACTGCACTCGGCAGCAGATGCACTGTGCACATTGGGCTGGTGTCAAATGCTGTCAGGCTCACCTGTGGCCCTCCGTTAAAAGACACGATTTAAGAGTTCTGTAGTGTCACTCCGGCTTAACCGCGTGGAATCTATGAACTCAACGGCGTTTTCTTGCCATGAAGAACCTGCCTCCAGAGAGTCGGCTGCAGACAAGTATTCTGAAGTTTGTTCAATGAGACATTTCTTTCAGTTCCTCTTCACACCAGGACTTCATGTGTGATTCACTTGTTGTGTGTTTTCTGTGACACGTCTCCCAGAGAAGTGTTTGTTTTGAATGGCCTGCACCGTTTTCTTTGGTCTCCACTGCTTGAACCCCGTGCGCCGCTATTGTATGTTGCTCGTGGGGGGGGGGTGAGGGCTGGACTATTGTACGCCTTTTTGAATGGGGTGGTTTCAAAGAATACTTTTAAATGGAGCTCATTGGCAGTTCCTCTGTCATGTGTTTACTCAGGCGTTCCTCTTTGATTTTAATCTCACTTCAGAGCAATACCAGGAAACTGTCACATACAGACAGCTCACGTCTCAACAGGAAGGAGTCAGCTGCTCATGAACTCATATTTAAAGACGTATAACACACACACACACACTAACTAACAGGTTCCTTTGGAAGCATGTCTGTTTGCTTTACTGCAGTACAAGCACTGATTGTGTTTCTGTTAGTTTCAACCACACCTACACTAACTGTCACATGTGAGAGTTAGACTCACTGCTTTCCTCTCACCAGTCTCCACCCACAGTTGTTTCCATTGAGCTGGGGAATTCAGAGATGGTACTACTTTACATCCGACAGGCTCCGAGTCAGAGCCCCTCAAGCGTTTCCTCATCATGTCATTGAACAAATGTGTATATAAAGGCACAGTTCGATTGGCTGGTGTAGATATGTACAGAATTGGGGGAATGAAAAGTGAACGTATAAGTTTGTCATTTAGAAAACGTTGCGATCCATGGACCATCTACAATGAAGCTCAGCTGTATGTGGACTACAGTTATGGTTATTTTGCAGTTATGAATGTGGCGTTGGAATAACGTACTTACCATTATATTTACTATTTCATTATTTAGGATTAAAGGAATAGTTTATCATTTTGGTAAATATGCTTATCCGCTTCCTGGTGCAGAGTTTGATAAAAAGATCCGCGAACTGTGATACGTCATTTTCAAACTTTGCTTTTTACACAAATTAAACAAGATGTAACATGTTAATGTTATATATTGTAATATTGTATATATTATCGTTATAGAGAGAGAGGGATGTTAATTAGGGCAATTTAGAGGGGCTGGTTCAGGTTGGCAGATATTGTTACCTTTGGACAGAGCTAGGCTAGCTGTCCCCCCCCCACCCCTTTCCAGTCTTTATGCTAAGCTAACCGGTAGCTGGCTGTAGCTTCATACTCAACAGATAGACATGAGAGTTGTATCAAGCTTCTCATCTCACTTTTTTTTGCCAGAAAGTGAAAAGCGCATTTCTAAAATAATAACTTTTCCTTTTAAACAAGATTAATTAGAGAAAACTATCATATTCTGAAGTCTTTGGGTTTATCAGTAACTGTTGGCATGAACATGATCTGTTATAGAAATGGCATGTAAACTACACAAAGACTGTGGCCATGACATGTGTCTCTCAAATTAGAAGCTCATAAGAAAAGTGGCCATTGAGGATTGGATTCATCATTGGACTGCTATTGTTTTCCATACTTTTCAAAAAAACTCTCTCTTTTGACTGAATGATTATCGTCGCAGGCATTTCCGGTATATGTATTGACACACAAAGGCACTTCGGGGCTGGCTGGATGGGCCGGAGCCACAGCTCAGAGAGTGTCTCAGTTGTCATGGAGCCCGTTTTAACAGTGTCGTAAAAGCAGCATGCGGAGTGACATTCAGCTCCCAGGCAGTTGTAAGCTCCTCAGAATCTGTCGCACAGTGCTTTCCCCTCCGCCTTGGACAATGTGCTAATAATTACAGGGAGCCCGAGGCCTGTGTTTGCATTTGGCGGAGAGGTTGTGCAGTGGGAGGGATGTGTGCTGCAGTAATGATTCAGTCTCACAGATGTAATTAATGGAGGCTCTGCATTGAAAGTGTTGTATTTTGTGTGTGAAAGAAGAGCAGGTGGAGGGGACCTTGTGTTTGCATATAACAGAACAAAATACTGTCAGGCCTGGTGCACAGATGTTCACGTTGCTTCGCTGATATTTTGCTCACAATGTATTTTATATACTTTAAATGTCATTGATTGGGTGCGATCAGTTTTGTTTTTATGCACTAATGATAACTTTTGTGGGCCAACGTGTCTGTAAACAATACATACAGACCATGAACAGGAAGTTGGCACTAAGAAGAACTTCTGCAGATATAAACCACCTGACATACACTGCCTTTACAAAGTTTGGAGTCATCTGTTGTATTGATGTTTTTCTTCTTTCCATCAATAATGATTTTAACAGAGACAAGAAGAGAATAATTCAGACACCAAATGTATTTTTTACATTTGAAATCGATTTGGCCCCTAAAAGAAGAAGAATGAAATGATTAAAACTTTAGTCCATGTCCTTTAGCCCCCCCAGCGTTACATGGCAGGGGAGAATGCTGTTTATTATGAATCATTTTCCACCCAAACAACATTTTATTTTTAATTTGTTTTCCAGTCCAGCATAAGGGACCCTCGACATCTATTTATAAAGAGGACTTTCTACAACTGAAAAGCATGAAAGAAAAACTTATACAGTCGTCCTCGCATCTGACTGTAAAAAATCAGTCTTGTGTGGGAGACGACCCCAAACCTTTGAACTGCAGTGTAAATAACAGGAAGCTACAGGATTTTTCGAATCACAGAAACACTTTTTTCTAAAGAGAAAAACCTAAACTGATGGGTAAGTTTTGAGTTTGCTTTCATTTATGACAGGAAGTGACATATGCTGCAACCTTCCTGTGTAACACATGGCACACCACAGCAACAGATGGACGCATTGAGATAGAAAAAAGAGATTAGCAGGATGAGAGAAGTACAATAGACGTGTCTGCTTAGGTCTAAATAAAAGAATGCAGTAAATTATGGGTCTGTTATACGGCACTGTAATTACCTGGATAGACGAAACGGAGACGTAATACAGTCTTGATGCAGAAAGTCTGACTGTTTTTAATATGAGTTTGGCCAAGAAGAGTGGAGTGAACTTTATTTCTATCTCAGTAAATTCCCTTCTGTTACTTCATCTTGATCGCTGAATCAACAAGTGTCAGTGTGCCTTCACACATTCTTTAAAAGCTGCGGTAATAACTATCTGTTGAACCCAGGTTAAAGGCTGCCCTTCACACGTTGTGTAATTATTAATAGGTCTGCTGTGGAATATTGTCAGACTGAACAGGGAGCCAATTACTCCAAATGTTGCTCTCTCTCTCTCTCTCTCTCTCTCTCTCTCTCTCTCTCTCTCTCTCTCTCTCTCTCTCTCTCTCTCT